CTTTTACATAAGGATAGATTCTTCATATCACACGTTCACTTTAGAAAGAAGGAAGGAAAGAAAAGAACCTGCCATGTGGCAAACATTTACTTTGTACAAGTGATAGGCTGGGTATTTTCACTGACCCTCATAATCTGATCTCCTATAGTTTTGAGAACAGACCCTTGTATTACTTATTATGCCTCATTTTTATAGATAAGAGAATGGACTCTTAAAAAGTTCAATGACCTCTCTAAGATCATACAAGTTCAGAGTGGTTAAGTTTTACATCTAGGTCCATCTATTTACAGAGCCTATACTCTTTCCACAGAATAACTATTCCTCTTAGTTTCCAGGCAGTGTTTTTCTTGCCCATAGTTAACTTTATAGCTTTACTAAGTTAGCCTTTCACACTCAAGTTGTTTCTCAGTCATTATTCCTATTGTTAAATTTCTATCTGATTTTATTTAAAAAATGAAGATGGATTAAGACCGTAAGACTAGGTGCATACATCTGTGACATTCTCCTCTTCTGTAATTCTTGTATTCTTTTTTCTTAGTCTAAAATACAACTCTAATCATGTTAATTATATTGAAAAATCTTTCTGTGGGCCCAATTTAGAAAACATTTTTCTTCAGATAAATGAGCTAATGAAATTAGAGAGTAGGATATGTTCTCAACAAGTTGAACTTTATTGTTTAAGTATTTAGCTGGCTGTGTAGTCTAAATTGATCCTGAACTAGCTCAAGCTATTCTGGTGCTTCAGCCTTCCAAGTGTCTGGTGCTATAGGTAAAGACCATAGGCCCAGATATGTCTATTTTCTAAATTGCTAGGCCTGGATTGATTATATCAAATAATCACAGAAACACAAGTTCTTGGAATGAAGCCATTTAAGCCATCATTTCTAAAAAAGAATAATTTTCACTTTGATGTGTTGACTAGGATCTGATAGTAGCTCCTTAGATGTCTAAGTTGAGGATTTTAAGGCCTCACATTGCTTCATGGAAAGATGTTAACAATCCCAGTAGACTTCCCTGCCTCAAATCAGGATCATTATTACTCTGAACATTAATTAACATATTACATTATTTCTTAGGCATTTTGAATATGTTCAGTATGAATGGGCTCTCTTACAGTTGGAGAAAAAGGAATTTATAATCCCCTAATCTATCAAAGTTTTTTATATTCCCTAGAGTAGAGGAGATTTGTTTCCTCAGTGACAACACTGATTATGTGTTAATTTAACAAAACGAGTATAAATATATTTTTCAGGGATTGAGACACAGTATCATTTCAGTTTGTAGGGATCAGTATGCATGCACATAATTTATAATAGTATAGTATTTCTTAACATATAATCTCATCTTATTTCTAGGGGAGTGATGAGTGATTGGGATTGAACCCAGGCCTTCATGTATGCTAAAGGAAAACCTTATTGTTATGCAAGGATAATGTCTTCATTTCATCCATGTAACAAAAATTGAATGGACTCCCATTTGTGAATTGATATCTCCTCCTTTTTACTTATAAGCACTTCTTTCATTCCTTTTCAGTTGCTTCAAGTCACACTTGCAATGGCTATGAGCTCATTGTCTCTTCCTTGAAAGCTTTTTTTATATGTATATAGAGAAGATTATTTCTTCTGTGTGTGTTCTCAACATATACATATATGCTTTCATTTCTCACATATCATCACAGTGAAAGTGGAATATAATAATTTATAATTGCATTATGTTTAATTTTCATGCAATTTTTGTGAAATTTGGACTGAATTTAGCTACTCTGAGATAAGTGCATAACATTATCTTTGCAAATGCTCTTTTCTACTAAGATACTCTTTTCTATTTGCTAGGAAAAGCTGCATCAAATCCATTATCTATGTGTAGATAAGTTAAGGGCTCAGCCTTCTGTATTTCAAACTAATTTATTTCCAAGTCCTACACATAAATAATTACTTTGATGTTTTCCATTCCTGATGAGAAGATTTTCATATCTTCAGTGTCTTTTATCTTTAGTTCTTCTGAATAGCATTGTTGGCTTATCAATAATTGCATTATCTAGCATATGTGACCCAAATCATGTTTGGGGATATCTTCCTCCTTTTCTCTACCTATGTTCTCCGTGAGGTAGTGGGGAGTAGTGTTTCATTTGTCTCATGGTTTTTCTAAACAGCTACAACAATACTGGTAACTAAATGTAAGAAGTCCAAAATAACAACAATTATATTAATACTAATAGTTACTACTAATACTGCAACTACATCTACCACTATGACCACTACTACTACTCCCATCCAGGCAATATGAAGGTGTCAGACAGTCTATGCTTCTTTCTGAATGCCATAACTGATAAATTGTTTCCTTTTACTTTTACAGTTTCTAGAATGCCCCACATTCTTTGATGTGACTCTCTTACATATCCAAAACCAAACAATGCATAGTATTATTCTAATTTAGTATATCATGACTTTGATTCTGGCTTTTATGTCTTCTTCAACCTAATGTGTAGGATTTATGATTTCCTTGATTCTAACTGAACAATATAGAATAATATCTCTATCTCAAAATTTGTTACTTAACCATATCTGTAAAAATCTTCTTTGATATGAAAGATAGTAAATTTCATTTTATCTCCATGGGATCTAAGTTGCAAAATAAGCAAATTGGAATTTTGTGTGAAGAGTATTAGATTGTAGACTTTCTTAAAACAGTGCAGAATCTTGTGTCTGGCCTAAAATCATTTATGCAGCTAGAATTGACTCATATGAGTGAATTGTAACACAAGATATATCTGATAATGAGATCAACTTTGTTACCACTGATAGTAGTAAAGTAGGTGTTTTTCCTTTCTCTAGATAGCTCAAGAGACCAGGCAGTAGTGGCACACACTTTTAATTTCAGCACTCTGGTAGCAGAGGCAGGAGGGTCTCTGTAAGTTTGAGACCAGCCTGGTCTACAGAGTGAGTTCTAGGATATCCAGGGCTACATAGAAAAACTCTGTCTCAAAAAAACAAACAAACAAAAAAGATAGTTCAAGAGAAAACCAAGGAATGTGGTTAGTATAGATGCACACTGGTTAGGCACTCATAACTAACCAGTTGAGGAAGACTGTGTACTATATAAAATTCTTACACCACACCACTATAAGACCTCCATAAGTTTTTTTAACTGTATGCTGATAATATCTATGCACTTGTCTCAGCATATTTTTTTGTAAAGGGAGCATTATAGAGAAATATCCATGGAATCTTTACAACAAAGCCAAGGAATTAATATAATTGTCAAAGGACTGGTGAATAAATCATAGGAGGTTGATTTGATGAGGTTTTCTGGAAGAGCACCTCATATCATTTGGGTAAAGAGAAATCTCCCCAAAGTGTGTTTCACAATGTACACTCCAAATAGTTGCTGGTTATAGTCAAATATTAGAGAGAAATGAGATAACTCACATCTGTTCTGCGAGTTAAACATAAGTTTAGAACGCTATAGATCGAGTTCCAAAATGCTAGAAATTTGCTAGGACAAAAAAAAAACAGTATTATCAAACAGTGAATGGAGTGACTATGGAGAATCACTTAGGAGAATTGACTCTACCATTTGGCCCACCATACTTGAACCAAAGGAGATGGAGCAGGGTTAAAGATCACACTGCAGTGTGGTGGTATTGTGTCCCCCAAAATATTGTGCACATTAATAAACTTATCTGGGGTCAGAGAACAGGACAGACACAATATTAAACATAGAGGATAGGCAGTGGTAGCACACACCTTTAATCCTAGCATTCCAGAGGCAGAAATCCCTCTGGATCTCTGTGAGTTCAAGGCCACTTTGGAAACAGCCAGGCATGGTGACTCACGCTATTGGTGAAATTATTAAGGCCACTCCACGTAGTTAAAAGGAGATTTATTTAATGGCGTAACTTACAAGTGAAGGAATAGGTAGGTTGAGGGTTCTGGGAAAGACGCACCAGTAGTCCAGGAATGTTCTCTGGAGAACTCTCCTCTGCCCACCTCTAGTGTCTGGGCTCCCAGCAACAAGAGAGCACTGCACGTCCTGATCTCTGGTCTTCAGGCCCTCCCTTGGCCCTGCCTTGTGGGCGTAATAGTTACCAAAACCTCAATGGGGGTTGGAACTTCCAGACCAAAGCTGTAATGGCTATCCACTATATCACACCTTTAATCCCAGAAAGTGAGCCTTTAATCCCAGGGAGTGATGGCAGGAAGCAGAAAGGTATATAAAGGCGTGAGGACCAGAAACTAGAAGCATTTGGCTGGTTAAGCTTTCAGGCTTCTAGCAGCAGTTCAGCTGAGATTCATTCTGGATAAGGACTCAGAGACATCCAGTCTGAGGAAGCAGGATCAGCTGAGGAACTGGCAAGGTGAGGTGGCTGTGGCTGGTTCTGTCTCTCTGATCATTCAGTGTTCACCCCAATACCTGGCTCTGGGTTTGTTTTTGTTAATAAGACTCTAAGATTTGTGCTACACTGAAGGCTGCATGGGATTGATCATGCATGGTCAACTGACAGTTGTGTGTCTTGGTCTATTTGTGGGGCTCCTAGCAATGGGATCAGGGCTTGTCCCTGGTGCTTAAGCAGGCTTTTGGAAACGCATTCCCTATGCTGGGTTGCCTCGCCCAACCTTGATGAAGGGAAAGGAGCTTGGTTTATGCTTTATTGACTCTCATGGGAGGTCTGCCACTTTCAGAATGGAGACGGAGGAGGAGTGGATGAAGAGGGATAGAAAGGAGGTAGGGAGGGAAGAGAAGAGGAGGAGGGAGGAGAAACTGAAAACATTTTAATAAAAAAGATCACTCTGAAATTATTTTAAGGGGGATTATATTTATATAAGATCCCTTTATCTAGCCAGATCATTTCAACTCTTCCTCATTGAAACTGCTCCCCTCCCCATTTCATGGAATTGGTAGGAGAGGTAGCATTGTGACACCTAAGTCACCGTAGACATACCATTGGCTGGAGGAGTTTTTTTGCCAACCAATCAAAACTGAAGGGTGTGGCTTCTCATTGTCCTGAGTGGATATATATGAGACCTCAGGCCTCCTGAAGTTAACTGTAGCCAATACAACTGTAAGATGTCAGATGTTCGTGAGGATCAAGAGGATTCTAGTACAGACACACTCTCTGAACTCGACTCTGATGATGAGTCAACCTCTAGCTCGAATATGGAAGAAGAAAGTCCTCCAAGCCTGAAGGAAAGGCTTTGCAGTTCAGTGATGACTACCTTAATTAGAAAGGTCAGATAATCTCTCTTAAGTTTCTTCTCTTTCCCTCACCAATTCCTCACCTATTACTCCTTCCCTGTCATTATCTGCTACAAAATTCTTCTTCAGTCCATAACCATAATCATGGATATAGACTTTATGCTTTTCTTGAAACTGTGTTTTAACCTTTGCTGTTCTCTTATCAGCTCCCCCAAATAATGAAGAAAGTACAATCTGTGATTGATGAGAATTCAGAAGACAAGAAAGGAAGAAAATACACCATCTTGATCTTTTACCACCAACGGAAGGAAAAAAAGAAACAAAAGCAAGAAAAGGAAAAAGAAGAGGTCCCAGAGGAATCTCAACTTTTAAATAATACTGTAGCTCAACCTGAGCCACGCCAGTACCCCAAATCCTCTCCATGTCACCCACCAAAACGAGCGCGGAATATTACACCCATACATAAGAATGTGTGGACACCGTTGACTAAAATGCAATAAAATACCCTGTGAAAACTGGTTTTGTTTCAGTGTGTGGTGTGTTTGATTGGTGGGAAGGAAGAAAAGGAAAGAGGAAACTATTTGAGGCAGGAGAAACATGGAATCACTCTTGGTTGTGGGGTGGGCATACTGGGTGGTGGTAAATAACAGGACGGAGGCTGGTTGCTGAAGAGGAAGTTCATAAATGCGTTCTTCCACAAGGATGTTTGAAAAGGATGTTTGGTGCTTCAGTGGGGTTGGGCAGCAAGGGTAGATGGGGAGAGGCATGATGTTTGTGGAAAAGGGACATGCAGGAATTGCTTGTATTTTTCATTTAATTGCTACCTTGACCTATTTCCTATTAATATACCTCAATACCAGAGATGTTTTGTACGGACAAAGATATACTAGAATAAAAGATCTTGAGGCTTGGAGGTCAGTAGTCAAGATTTGATGGGCATCTTCTTGTTGGTGTGGACACTGCAGAGTCCAGTGGTCCAGAGCAATGCATCAAATAGTGAGAGGAGCATGTAGGAAGAACAGTAGCATACCTGCTGTTATAATAGATAACCCATCACTCATTAATCTATTAATTTATGATTTATTCAGGAACTAATCACCCGTTAAAATTTCTATTTAAACTCACCCAATAATACAACAACGTAGTGAAAGTTTTCAACATGTTTTAGTAGAAATTTTCTGAGTGCCACAGCTCTTTATCTTCATCATTGCCTCTTCCTTTCCTCCCTACATCTGTGAAGGCTTATATGAACAGAGTTGCTCATCATAAATTAGAAATAAGCAGGTATGCTTAGTCTTAAATACAGGATCAAACTAATTTCTTTCAGTTCCCTGCACATATAGTAGTTATTTTCTGAAATATCTCCTGTGGATTGAGAGTAATATGACCCAGCAAATAATAAAATTAATATCAAATAACTATAAAATAATTTTAAAACATGGTTCCCCATGAGGTAAATTATTTCTCTATTAAAGACTTAACATCCCCTCCCCCAGTGGAAGTAAAAACAGGACCTTCAATTACTAAAGTCCCCTATATGAGACTTAAATGAACAAAGGATTGTTATTTCCTCTACTAATAAGCCACATTCTTCAATACCTGTAAGAAAATAATACTCTATTGTATATTACTGAGCTAATAGGCCCCATCTTGTGAGCATCTACATGGATAATCAACCTTTTCTGATTTTAAGATGATTAAGGCTATACCATGCCTAATTGACAGAGTTCTACCGCTCTACACCTTTCTCTAAATTTTGTATTCTTTCTTTCCTGGTTCAATGCTGATCCCTGATTCTGGATGGAGTGACATCCATATATTCTGAATATTGTGAAGCAATGCCATAGAAATTGATCACAACAGACACTTACTTATAGCAGTTTTGCCAATAACTACCAACAATTATAAAAATATGTTTGCTTTCAATACATTTAGAAGTACCAGTAATTTGTGGGTGCAGGTACAAATATTTTTACAGCAATTTACTTAAGAAGAAGTACCATGTGCACATCATTTAACAAAGACTATAGTAGTAACATTTCACCAGGGGCCTATTGTGGAAGCCCACAACTGACTCAGTTTCCCAGTTTGAATCTGAAATCTATTCTGAGTCAATAGAGTTAAAGCTTGCTTGCTCCAGGGCTGTTAGAAAGTCCTGATTAGCCTGCAGAGTCTCCTTGAAGAGCTGTGAGAAAGTCCTGATTAGCCCATAGAGCCTCCTTGAAGGGCTGTGAGAAAGTCCTGATTAGCCACAGGAAGGAACACACTATCTAGCTACATGCATGCAGATACCAGCCAGAGGTACATTGAGATAGAAAATGAAACTGCCTGCTCCTTGACGCAAGGCAGGATAGATAGTGGTTGAATGCCTGCACTGTGCATCGTTCTATCTCTGTCCTTCAAAACTGTATATAAGCTAGCTGTGAAATAAACACAGGGTTGTCCAGCAATGACCAGCAGACCTCTTGACTCTTCTGCTTTCTTCATTGTCTTTTCAATCTACACATCTCTACCCAGATACCCAGCTGACTGTGGGCAGGCTCCAACAAGTGGTGCCCAATATGGGGCATGAACCCATGACCCTGAGATTAAGAGTCTCATGTTCTACCAACTGAGCTAGCCGGACTCCACTGCACACAGAGCAGCCTCTTGGGCCAGCTGCTCAGGAAATAGGGCACAATATTCTTCCTTCATTTGTGGACTTCCTTTGGGATATACTGATTCATAAAGGTATTTGCCCCTCTTGAAGAAGCAATATGAAAAAAACAAGATGTAGCTATTTGCTGTTGACACTGCTATCATGGTACTATCTGGCCTCCATTCAGCTTGTTTGTAAGATCCAAACTGGGTAGATGATTAAGCTGGTTCATTATACATTATGATTAACACACTATGTGGGCTGTACCAGATGCTGAGGCAGGCTGGGTCCAGCATGGCAAAGAATACTCTCCGAGGATTGGACTGGACATGGAGCAGCGACCACATTTCTCCAGCCCCATGTTTTCTTTCCTAGCTTACAATAACAAACATGGATTTGCTCCAGTGAAGTAGGCTTTAAATCAAATAAGAAAGTAGATGGCTGCACCTATAACAATTGTGCCAGTATTCAATCAGTGAACACATATTACTTGGAATGCTGGGAGCCTTAATATACAGGGCCCATAACTAGGGAAGATTATTAGTCATTCTCCTCAGAAGCCTGTGGTGGTATTGTATTCCCCAAAATATTGTGTACCCTAATAAATTTATCTGGGGTCAGAGAACAGACAGCCACTAGATACAGAGGCTAGAAAATGGTGTCACTCATGCCTTTAATCCTAGCATTCCAGAGACAGAAATCCCTCTGGATCTCTGTGAGTTCAAGGCCACATTGGAAACAGCCAGGCATGTTGACAAATGCCTTTAATCCCAGGGAATGGTAGTAGAAGGCAGAAAGTTATATAAGGCGTGAGGACCAGAAACTGGAAGCATTTGGCCTGGTTAATCATTCAGGCTTCTAGCAGCAGTTCAGCTGAGAGCCATTGGAATGAGGACACAGAATCTTCCAGTCTGAGGAAACAAGACCAGCTGAGAAGTTGGCCAGGTGAGATTAGCTGTGGCTAGTTCTGTCTCTCTGATCTACCAGCATTGACCCCATTCTCATAAGCTCTCTTTTCCTTCAACCACACAAACTGAGTATGGTTCACATCTTCAGCTACAACTTACCAACATTGCTATATAGGGCATGTCCTAGCTACTGTAGGATGGTCTTTCTGTATGCTGTGAATATGTGTTGCTATGATTGATTAGTAAAGAAGCTGCTCTGGCCTATGGTCAGTCAGGTTATAGTCAGGCAGGAAATCCAAGAGAGAGACAGGGAGAAAGGAGAGTCAGGAAAGATGCAAAGCCCACTACCCAAGGAGCAACATGCCAGCAGACTGGTAATACCATGGCCATGTGGCAATACATAGATTAATAGAAATGGGTTAAAGATGTAAGACCTATCTATCCAGAAGCTTGAGCCATAGGCCATCAAGTTGGTAAATAATATAAGCTTCTGTGTAATCATTTTATAAGCAGCTGCGGGACTGTGAGTGGGAAAGATTTGTCCTGACCACAAGACCAGGCAGGACCAGAGAAACTTCTGGCTACTCCTAGCAGTATATACATGTTCTGTACACCTCTGTAAGTATGAAAGGTACATAGTATATTTTAAGGGAATAATTTCCTACCCCTAGTACAAGCTTAATCATTCTTCTTTTCACCTAAACTTTTCTATCTCTATGTTTATCCTCTGATGCCCATTGTCCATGATGTTCTTGGAAGCCTCCAGGAATCAAGGCAAACCTAGACTCAGCATCTTCCCAAACCTAGACATATTTTGTACATTGGTAGGAGGATGAATAAAAGCCCTGTTCATGTTGGGCATCTGGTAATCTTGTGTGACTCTAACCTTCACGAAACCTTGGCCACCCTGTTAGGAAAGAGGCTTGGATGGTTTCCTACTTATGAGATCTCCTTCCTCCACAGAAGTGAAGATTTACTATAGCTAGAGTTTTCTCCAGTCCCGCTCAGGCCCTGCAGTTCTGCATCCCACTTATAAAATAATCATTCAGAAGCTCATATTAATTAAAATTGCTCAGCCATTAGCTCAGGCTAATTCTTGACTAGCTCTTACATCTTAAATTAACCCATTTTTATAAATCTATACCTTGCCAAGTGACTCATGGCTTACTGGTACTTTACATCCTCCTCCTCATGCCGGTGGCTGGTAGCATCTCCTGACTCAGTCCTCCACTTTCCAGAATTCTCATCTCTTGTTATCCCACCTACACTATACTTCCTGCCTGGATACTGGCCAATCAGCATTTTATTTATCAATCAATCAGAGCAACACATTCACAGCATCCCCAGCAATTTACAGTGGTAGTTAGGTGCACCTTTATAATAGTTACCAATTTGCAAACTGTTGAGCAGTCTTTGAAAAATTACAGAGGCTCACTAGTGTAGAATTTTGCATTCTGACATTATTTTCCTCTTTTTTGGAAATCTTGCTCAATACAAATATCATCACATTTGTACTTTTTGTTGTTTATGCAAGCTCTTGCTATGTATCTTTGACTCACCTGATACTAATTATGTATCTTAGACTGGTCTCAGACTTATGGAAATAAACCATCCTTATCCTCCTCAGTACTATGATTATAGGCATGCACAATGGTGCCCAGATTCAAATTTACTTTCTTGTGTCATGGACAGGTCCCTTTGTCTACTTTCTTTTATATTCTCTTTGCTGTAAGAAATAGTAAGCTAATACTTTATTTCATCCTCCCACTTTATACACCTATACTTGCTGTGGAAAAATCCTCTTGTACACCGTAAAGATTTATCACTGGAATTGGTTTAATTAAATGCAGATTGGTCAGTAGCCAGGCAGGAAATATAGGTGGGGTGACCAAACTAAGGATGATGGGAAGAAGAGTGGAGTCAGAGAGTTGCTGGCAAATGCAGGGAAGCAAGAT